GAGCTGCAGCACCACTAGGGTCACATCCACAACGCATCTTATGTACCCTCACCTTTATCACCTGCATGGTTCATTTTCATATGCAAAGCTCAGGCTATGTTTATCTGAACACACTGTGCTCTGGTCAGTGGAGCACATAGAGCATGGTCAGATATTGACACAACACACGGAGCAGCTTCTTGTATATCTCAGCTGATTTTGATGGATTTTTTTTGGGAGTTATATCTGGCTTGGTGCCATCTTACATAGTATTTGTTTACAGGACTGGAGAGCACGAATTGTTCTAGTGTTGCATTCCTCAAAGGAGAGTTTCAGAAGCATCACAAGACATATTTGCTTACCTCTCCCACGGCTGCCGTTTAAGAAATATTTGGCTTTATTGTTACTGATTAAGCAATCCATCAACTCATAACTAGTCAAACAACACGTGCTAGTGAAACACAATGAACCCTTCCCACCAGAAGCAACTTAAACACTCACACACGTACAAACACACACACACACGCACACACAGACACACACAAAGATCCCATTCATCTACTCTGCAGTTGTACTGGAGCAACCACAAAACAGAAATAACAGTTAGCAGCAAAGGTGGTGAGAGGTGGGAAGGGAGATTGAGACTGCGCGGGGAGGAAGGGGTGTGGGGGGAGTGGGGAGGGTGGGGTTGAGGTGGGTGGGGAGACAGGTCGGTTGATGCTAAATAAGGTTTTGTTTCCACCCTGAACTTGGGTTCACTGTGACTTGGTGAGTTTACGGCACGATAAAAATCTCAACGGCGATGATAATGTAGTTCACACCTTCTAATGGAAATATCAGGTTGACAGATTTTGAGAATATAATGAAATTTTATGTTTTGCTTCTTTTTTTCCTGTTTTCTGTTTTCAAAAGTCAGATAAGATCTTTTTTTTTGTTCCAAATGCAGGTACACAAGGCAAAACTAAACATAAGATAACCGTGCTGTGTCAAATAGAAGCTTACAGTACCTCGTGCTTGCATTTCCACTGTTGTATCTTAAAAAAGTTCATAATGAGCTAAGCATAAGCACTGGGGAATTTCCTATTTTTAAGATGTTTTGCTCATTTTATACATACAGGAAGCTTAATTTATCTGGTTACCTCATTCGGGTCATTGCCAATGCTTTTTGTAATGTTTCGTAGGGTTAGCAAAACTATAAAGTAGTTTTTTTAAGGTTAGAAAAAGAAATAGGTAAATGTTACTTGCATTCAGCTATTCAGCTTATGCTTACTGTTAGAGAAGGCTAACTCATTCTTACTGTATGGGAAATGAGGTTAACCATGATTCAGCTTTCTCTTCGGTATATCCTACGTTACCATACGTTCGTGCTAACACCCCAGCCTCTGCGTCTCTCTCTTTCTGTGCACCAGCCGCAGAGTTTCTGTGTCACAGAATTAGCGAGATTTAAACCTATGCAATGATCCGTCGTGACCAAAAGGTATCCATCATGAGTGTGTCACTGCTTTTAAGTGGAAAATCTCATTTTAGTTCACGCTTATTTGAGAATGCGTCAGTTCTCAGAAAAACATTTTTCTTATTGTTTTGGTTTTTTGCTTATTCTCTCTCACGCCTCTCATCTGTGGTGCTTTCTTTCAGAGAAAATCATTCCTCCAGGAGTCAAGGAAGAACAAAATAGAGATAATGTTGCTACATACACTCACCCACTACACCTGTTCACCTGCTCATTAACACAAATATCCTATCAGCCGATCACACGGCAGCAACTCAAAGCATTTAGACATGTAGATGTGGTCAAAATGACCAGCTGAAGTTCAAACTGAGCATCAGAATTGGGATGAAAGGTGATTTAAGTGACTTTGAACATGGCATGGTCTGATTATTTCAGAAACCTACTCAACTTTGAAGCAGATGGCCTACAGCAGCAGAAGACCACACGGTCACCTAAGAATAGGAAACTGTAGCTACAATTTGCACGGACCATTTGACAATAGAAGAGTAGACAAATATTGCCTGGTTTGTTGCCTCCAGCGGTGGTTGGCACAGAATTTGGTGTGATCATGAAAGCATGGATCCATCCTTCTTTTAATCAACTGTCCAGGCACTTTCTGAGTCTTAGTACCTACTCAGCATCAATTCACTTCCCAGTCTACATGAGTATTATTGTTTACTATGTCCTTTGGTGCAAGTTTGTAGCTCAAAAGCCAACTGATTTTCTTTATAAACAAACCCGCAAGAATACGCTCAAAGGACCACCTTGTTCGAGGAAGCATGTTTGTACTGTGTCAACGTCATGGTCAACGTATGGTTTGTTTGTGCACCGTTGTGGTTTGCATACACTCATTGTGAGCATGAGTGTCATGGCAATTTTGGGCTTTGAATGATGTCTTTGAACTCTTCTTTTTCTAGAATGGTATTATTGTACAGTACACATCTTTAATGACATGCACAAGTTCAAACTCATTTTAGATTTTCTCTTAATTCTACAAGTATACATGCAGGCTCACATACATATATACACCCCTACTAATATTTGGTCAAATGTCCCTTAGCAAGTTGTACCTCGACCGTATGCTTTTGGTATACATCAACAAGCTTCTGTCATAATTCCGACTGGAAATTTGACCGCTCTTCTTGGCAGAGTTCATTTAAATTCGTTGGTTTCCTGTCACAGACCCAGTCTACAAATCTTCAACAGGGTTGAGGTTGGGGCCTTGGGAAAATTAGCCGTATAGTATGGGGGCTATATGTATACATTAACCCTCTGTGGTTGAGAAAAAAAATCTAATTTATAGTCAATAAAGATGTATACTGTCCACAATTGTTCTGTACTGTACAATCAAAGGAATAGTTAGAAATAATCAAGAACTCATTAAAAGCCAAAAATTACCAGGACGTTCATCCTGATCATGAGTGTATGTAAACCACAACTGTATTATGGGGGACGACGAGTGTACAACAAGTCAAGCAGTTAGCAAGTCAACTACCTGGCTAACTAATGCTTGCTATCCTTTTCAGTTGCTGAAGAAGCTAGCGGTCTCTCCTGTAAAAAAACAAACAAACAAAAGAAACATTTTTTTGCAGACTTTACAGGAGCTACTAAAAGATGTGGTCATTATTTCAACCATGATGTGTAGTAGTTGTTTTTCGACTTCAAGCACGTTGTCATGTCCCACTAAATGCTCCATCAGAGGGTAAACATGAAAAAGACCGGCAGATCAACCTGTAACAACATACTCAGACTCGGAGTGGCAGTTCCAACTCCAGCAGACTTCATTTTAGCTGAAAGACAAAATTATTTAGGCTCTCACACGTTATTTATATGATTTGTCTATCTAGAAAAGTACGCGGTCAGTATTCATAGATTTCTTATGCAAGCAGTTCAACTGCAGTTCCAACCAGTTTTGAGAAAAATAACCTTAAAGCAATACGTTAAACATTTATCCTTTTCAATGATTTCCACCCCTTGTATGAACCTTGATTAGTATCTGTCTGTCTGTTCAGTATATGTATCAGAGTGCAAAAGAGGTCACAGCCATGAAATGAGCCACGTGCAAGCGCATGTGCAGAGGTATAACAGAAGAATTCAAATGTCAGACCAAGGTGCCACCCACACGGCCTCCCTCAGCTTACTGTGGTAGCCTTCAACGGCCTGTCGGCTAACCAGTCCTGGGAAACACCTTCCTAGCATCAAGCACAACAGCATCACATGCAACTAGCAGCTAGCAGGTGCTGTAGTACTGTACTGCTATACTTAACAACGAGAGGAAAGTAGTTATCCCACCAGACTACCTGACATTCGCTGTCTGTGGTGGTGTGAATGTGTATTTGCACGTTTGTGCATGTGTGTGCACAGTATGCGTGTCCGTACAGTATGTGCATGTCACTAGGTGAGTCTTTGTCAGTGAGGTTTCTCTGGCAGCAGGAGAGGATGCAGAGCACAAGCCACTTTTAACTGACTGGGGTAAACAGTGATGAGAGAAGATAAAGGGCAGAGTGAATGTCACATTACCCCAGCCCTTTGCTTCTGCTCACCACAACATCAGATAACTGCTGCAGGAAAAAAAAAGTCTGGTTTCCTCTAGCATATAATTGGTTATCTCATTGCGATCTACTGTTCTCTTGCCTCTGCACAGAATGAAGTATAAAGAGCAAAGGGAGAAAAAAAAAAGTCTAAAGTTTGACTGTTCAGTCAGTGACTAAAATAAATCATTACGAGCGTAGGAAAGGCACCAATCTATTTTCATGGTGGTTGCCACAGATTTAAACATTTAGCACAAAAAACAAATATACAAAGAGAACACCTGACAATAAGGTGGTGTTGTGTTCGCTTTCAAGCAACCTTTTAGAATAGCACAAGCAACGCAACATAGACAGGTTAACACACAGCACGTTGACTTGACTAGATAGGGAAGTAATATTGATTATCAGCAACAATATCTAACAACTTATTAGCTCAGAGTTAAGTAAACAGATAACATTTCATATGAAATGAAGCTATGCATTAAAAAAACAAGGTCTGTTAGAAAGAACTTTGGTATATTCTGTCAAAAAGACAGCTTTTGTTATAAAGAGCCTCATGAGATCTTTAAATAAAAAGTAAAGTTAAACTCTAAACATGTCAAAGGCACTTTATTTAGAGTTAATGTGTCTCTCTGGATGCGACCTGATCATAACATAACACATCACCATGTGACTTGATCATAACAACTACCGAGGCGTATTTCGCACCTTCCTCATGTTTTCACACATACCGTAATTAAGAAACTCCTGACATGATTTATAGATTCCAGTAAAATGGTTGCCTTTGAATAGAGACACTATAAATGATACATATGTGTTCACACATTTGTGTATAAAATATATATGTGAAGGTTCTCATAGGGAGCTCGACATAAATACGGAGAGCAATTTCATCTCAGCATAAAGCCTCCAGAACTGACCAGGGCCCAGGATAGAACCTTGAGGTACACTTTTCCAAATCAACCGGCTAGGGAAAAAATAAGGGGGCTTGGCTATCTCACCACAGCAGTGGGTAGTCTTTTCCTAGATGGATTGATGGCCGGAGAGGGGGCAGTGTGGAGCCTAACCCCTCGCTCACCCACACTGTACCGGGCCTGTGGTTAGAGAGAGCGAGAGAAAGAGAGAGACAGCGAACAGGAAAAAAAGAAGAGAAAGAGAAGACAAAAGCAGAGAAGGAAAGGAGACGACAGGGCTTTAGATTGCAAGGTACAAGCAGGGCATTTGTAAAGGGAACATGTCAAGCCCTCCCGCCCTCTGTCGTGAACCTTTCTCTCCTTCTCCCTTTCTCCGGTTGCCCTGCTCTTCCTCTAGTACGCCGCGCACGCGTGGAGGGGGAGGAGTAACGACATGAGAATTACACAGTGACATGCAGCGCTGTGCTACGGGAAGAATGGAGGTTAATGAGCTGACATACCCTCCACCTCGAACACGCCTCCTCCCCATGCCAACCTCCCTGCTCTCTTTCACACGCTGACAAGCATGTACACAAAAACCCCGGCAAGACAGTGAGGAGTGAAAGCTGGCAGCGAGACAAGTTTTGGTGCACCAAAGGAATGTGGCAAGAGCGCAGTTTACACTCTCTTCACATACAGTGCACACAGCTCACAGCTGTAACTGGGTTATGAACAACTGTGAACGTGAGCTAATGTAATTTACATTAGAAATATGGCCTCAGCTAATGCAATCAAGAACTGGGAAGATGCAAGACTCGTTATGCATCAGAAATCAGAGGCATAAAAATATATGGCAAAAAGTCGCTGTTAAAATTCCTACATTTGATCATACTTGTACTGTACTATACTATAGGTGAAGGGATGCCAACAGCAGAATGGAGGCAGCAAGTGAAGCAACAGGTCCACTTTGACATGCAAAATAATGTGAAATTTAAAAAAAAAAGTGGAGAAATTTAGCAGCGTTGGGACTCACATATATCTGGTATTATGAGGATTCATCCTCGCCTGGCTGTCAACGTATCTACCAGCGTGTCAAGAGCATTTATTTCTTCATTCATAACCCATAAAAAGTTACGCTGCTCATATAGCTAAAAGAAACATTCACCACAGGTTTTACCAACTTGCTAAACACTATAAAATACAAATAGATAAAACAGCCGATTTATTAAGGGACAATTGTATTTCGTGTCCAGACCACAAACCAAAGGCTATACATATCATTCTCTTACTGCAAAGAGCTCAGACTTCTGTGAATAACTGATTAGGCCTTCAGATTCTCAACCATTTCTTGGTTGTCACGTGGTGATGTGTGGGTGTATAATATGTTAAATAAAACCTCAGTGGCCTTTAAGTTGCATCACCAGAAAACCAACACGCAAAGGTGACAATTTTTACCAGATAAGAGTCCATGGGTTCTCAAGTATGCACAGACACAAATAACACAGAGGGGTAAAAAAAAAAAAAAAACAACCCAAAAAACAGCCGGCTTCAAAGGAACATTCAACATTCAGCAAAGAAAAACTTAGCTGAACACCAAGTTCCTACGAGCACAGGTGAAATTCACACGACCACATCTAAAGATAGGTGCACATGCACTGAAACACTGAAATTGTGCCAATTTTGTTTATTTTCCAAATCTGCAGTTGCCTAAACTGTGTATAGCCTGTTCATATGGCTCAATTTCATCCATCTATTGATTGGTTAAAGGATGCTACCATTTAGGGATAGAGACAAAATGTCTCTGCATGCATCCTGCTGCAGTTGATGTGCCTTAATTACCTGAAACTAAATGAGTGAAAAGCACAAGAGTAACAAAACAGCGTCTAAGAAATGAAAGAACTTTAGCAAAAGCAGAAATAGAATTGATAATGATGCGGCGACACAGCTCCGCAGAGCTTGAAAACAATGGAAGATGGATGGTTAGTCATTAGCACCCATTGTGAATCTTTCGAGTGAGTAATTTGTGGGAAGGCTTGTGCATTTTTAATAGTCTTAAACTGAAGAGCCCTAAGAACACAAACTCCATGAAATAATAACAGGCATTTCACCTTAGCACTATCCGAGCCTCTCAATTATTTACCACTAATGAATTGCCTTGGGCAACATTCTTCCTAAGTACAATATCAACCATCCCAGAGAGCCAGAATCAGCTCACTCAAATACTTAAATACATTTACTCAATTATGCTCACTGTCCCCGCAATTAAAGAGCCAAGAATGTCAAGCTGTTTTCTGCTTGCTGTCTCGTATGCTCTGATTCAGCTTTGATATTTCAGCAAAACTCTTCCCCCGGATAGCAATGATTAATTGATAAAAACATTTTCAGAGAAATTGCAACAACCAGGTTCGTGGCTTTTTCTCTGTTTTTGCATCTGTGGTGTGGGTGATGCTAAAAAAAAGCATGTTAGCTGTTAGCAGCAACATATCAGAAAAGCAGGCTAACAGACACCATCTAAAACACCAGTTGCAATGGCGTACGTATATGTAAGTGTTAGCAAGTGTTTATAAAAGCACATGCTTTATATCTGTTCACGTGGAGTGACAAACCGTGTTATGCTCTATTATTGCATTCAACATTTTTATCACCGCACGATCGGAGAAAAATCACACCCATGTTATTTCCACTATGTAACAGATCAGGTCAGGCCTGACTAGCTTTAGTCAATTCCATGCTCTCCAGCTGTAAGTCTCTGGCTGTAACTACGTCAGAGAAATTAATGCGCAAAGGATCCTGTTCCTAGACAGCTGGTAGTTGTAAATTCCTATCAGGGAATTAAAAAAATGTATAAAAAAAAAAAAACACCAAAAAAAAGGAGGGAGCGAGAGAGTTTGAAAGAAAACATATACAATTTTCATTTCAACTGCTTTAGGGATTAAGGCTCAGGGCTCTAGAAAAAAACTGCATTAAAATAATCCACCATTTGCATGTTTTATCTCACAAAGGAGGCTCACATAGACACACATATGCAACAACCCCCACTCTCCCTCCCTACCGCCCTTTTCCTCCTCCCCCATTCTGTTTGAGCATACACACACACACGTGCGCACATACACACACACACATCACACATGTACACGCTGCCATCATTAAACACACTCACACACACATCGAGATCAACCTGCTGCCATCTGCTCCACGCGCTCTGTACAATCCTTGCAGAATACATTATTCACTACAATACATCACATCACATTCCCTCAATGTCATAGCCTTGTGCTTGAGGAAGACTCTGTGTGTGTGTGTGTGTTGCGAGTGTGTGTGTGTGTGTGTGAGCATGCGCGTGTGAGAGAGAGAGAGAAGATTTGCTCTGTTATACGGTAGAGTGGTAGAGAAAATTAAAGACAGTTTTATTTGGCTTTTAGGTGAAACAAGACTGTCAGCAAAACTCGTGTCTGTTACTAGGCCAGATTAAAAATCCAGACAAGGATGTCAGTGTATGAAAGCGAAGGATAACAGCTACTGAGAAAGTGAGAGGAACTGACACATACAAGCAGGAGAGAGAGAGACAGAAGGCAGGAGTTTTTTTGTTACACACTAGGGTCTGCTTTCGTGAAGGACATTCCTCTCAGAGAGTTATCAGGTGTCAAAAGTATGATTTAGCATTTCTCCAAATGTAAGCACATTTTTCACAGTTCATTAATGTGTTTACATTATGCTTTATATCCCTGTTTTTACTGAAGGGGAAGTCGGGGTCGTACTGCGCGGTTTTATTCGATGTGGAGCAACTTTTGGTTTCTGAACTTAGTGGAGAGGAAGAGAGCGAACACTGGAATAAAGCGGCATTTATCTAATGGTCCACCAGTGGAAAATGACGGCACACACGCACAGTAGCTTGGACTTCAAGTCTCAGAGATGACATAGTTGTATTTGACTTTGAGCAAAGACTTGGAAGAATGAATTCATGTTGGGTTTAGTCTGCTTTTGTTATTTGTTAATAAGAAAAATCCCAGTTTTATTTTTAATGCAGCGACTCTGCATTTGTATTATTTACTTTACTCCAATTGCTTCACTTGATTTCATTTGAAAGATAAATACAGAAACATCGATTACTTTTTTTTTTTGCTTGTTTACATTTTTGTCTTTTCTCCCTATCGTTTCTTATGCGCAAACCATGAACATGTTAATGCATGTGTGTCGCTATGTGCGGTGGCAGAGCGGAGGGAGGGAACAGCTGGCAGGCCCACACTCGACCACGTATTGACCTGTTTTGCATTCACCTGTTATTCAACCTAATGTTTCCACTTGGCTCTGCTGCAGCTGAGCTACAATTAACCTCGCTGTGCGCGCAAGGGAAGGAAGTCTTGAGTAATTTTTTTTCAAAGCAGTTTGTCAAACTTCCCCAAATGTCATTCTGCCCACTGTCTTAAAATTAATGTTTTTTACTTTAACTTTCCCACTCTGAAGAGAAGAGAGGCGAGACATCTAACCCTTCTGAGATCTACAGTAGCTATAAATGTGGCCTATATTCACACAGCGCTAAATTCTTTTCACTTGATGCACGTAATCTGATTGCAGATAATTAGCCTCTGAAAATGTTACTTGCCTTTCTAAACCTCATAAATGACAGAAAACGCTGCTGCATCCAACCCTTCCCTTATCTGCTCTTCACTCGGCTACTCCGCCTCCTCTCGCTTTTTTCCCACCCTCCATTTCCCCCTCCCTCCTCTTTTCCCAGATGCCCTCTCAGCTCTTGCTTGTGTTTGGGCTGCAACTGCGAGGGGTCACTGCCTGCCTTGTCTCACACGTGGAGCACTGAGAACGTGTGTGTGTGTGTGTGTGTGTGTGTGTGTGTGTGTGTGTGTGTGTGAAAGAAAGACAGCACACACTTGTCTATGGATAATTATATGAATGAGAGCGTAAGAACATCAAAAAAAAAGAAAGAAAGAAAAAGAAGTGTGTAAGTGTGTGAATTTAGCCTGATGTGTGTGCAGTTGAGCCTGAGTGCCTTTCCCACTGTGTGTGTTTCAAAGTGTTTCAATGTGTGTGTGTGTGTGTGTGTGTGTGTGTGTGTGTGTGTGTGTGTGTGTGTGTGTGTGTGTGAGTGCGTGCGCCTTGCAAGCTCAGTGCCAGGTCTCTCTAATGAGTCTGTCAGGCGCTGTTAGCGACGGCGTGCTCCCCTGGCTCAGCGCACTCCTACAGAC